ATGCTAATGAATTCATGTTTTATATCTGCAAAAGAATTAATATTGATAAGCATATGTTTATGAGTTTCATATTCAGCAGAACCTTTCAGGCACATACCTATGTGCCAATGCTTTGCAAAATCAAGGATCTAGCAGTTGACACAAGCATCATAGAAACTGTAAATAGGCTTGATTTGATTTTAATTTAGGGGAAAGAATGAGATGTAAAAAGTGTTCTACTAAAACCATTTACAGCCTGTAGTATTCTGCTATACTGTGTGTGAAGTTCTGTAATTTGCATAACAGACATGAAAAGGAGTGGAGAGTGGCTGAGCAGGGAGAGGAAAAATCCTGAAGAGGAACATGAAGCATATTTTGCTTTACTCCGAACCTGTACAATACTGTGAGTTTAAATTGTTCAGTGATTTAAAAAAACAACAGAGAGATCCTGCTATCCAAGACACTAAATGACCGTACTTTCAGATGGAATTAGAATGCATAATCAGTCAAACACTGATTCAAATGACAGGTTCAGTGAAAGGTACTTAAGGAAACTCCTAATCAGACCTGCCCATCAGAAATTATGTTTCCTGTTTCATTTGCATTAAAACATAAACTGCAGCTTAGAATTAAGGGCTGCATATTGTCCTTCCAGCAGAGATATGTGCTTGTTGCCTGCACAAGAGAAACAGAGTCTGACTCCTGACAGGTTTTGTCCCTTTGCTAATTCAGCTTTCCTTGTGTGTTTCGGTGGTTAGCCAAGATTTCTTTCTTTTTGAGATTCAGTAATTAAAAAAAAAAAAAAAAAAAATTCTGCTTCATTTTTATTTAAGAGCAAACAATGAACTCCCATTGGAGGCTATGACTGTCTGGAGCATGTTCATAGAATCATAGACAAACACGTTCATGTTTGTCTTAGAGGGCTCAGAGTCTCACTGCTCAGCTGGAGGACTTTTCTTGTGGTAGATATCTCTGATGATATTTAGCAAGCAGCTCACATACAACAAGTAAAGGCCAGCAATGCGTAAGACTGACTGCTTCTGGCAGATTCATATTACAATAGGCTGTGAGCAGTTCCGTTTTGCCATTTTTACTTTAGCCTCTGCAGTCTATGCTCCAAGAAACAGTATAGGAATACCCTTTCTGAGCTTGTGCCTGTCATGCAGATTATCCATCTCTTACAACATCTCATAAGAGATGTTCTGAGTGGCTGACATGAGTTAAGTGATACTTGATCCTCTGGTGATGGAGAAGAGATGTTATTTACTGTGTTCTGGTGTGATGCTGACTGGAGGTTAGCATGATGTGGCCTGCACTCTCTGTATGTTACCAGTGCCATTGTAGCTACATTGCCTTTTGGAGGGTCAATGCCTTTGTGACAAGCAGTCAGTAGTGTACACAGCATCTGAGCCCCAGTCATGCCCAGCAAATCTGTTTGCCACACAACTTACTGTAATGTCCTTTTCCCCATGCCCTTCTCAAACTCTGGAGGGGCTCTTTTGTTGCCCTTTTCTTAAGTGCAGGCTGCAAAATCTCTGCAGAGGCATGATGCTTTCCAGGAGGCTTGTAGCTGATAAGTCAAACTATCAAATAGCCCCTGGGAATGAGTGCAGGCATTGCTCATTCAGCCCTTCTGCATGTATTGTGTGACTATTTTTACTCACAACAAATCTTACAGGCAACCTTGAGTATCCTTTGCAAATCTGTTGATAGACATCCTCTTTCTTTATGCTTGCATAGAGCTGCTCTGCTTCCAGCTCTGCAGTGTTACTGTAGGACTGGGCTGAAGGCAGCAAACAGATTTGTTTTACATATGACATGAGGAACGGTGTCTGCGCAAGATCTGGCACAGGAAAACCTCTTCACTTACAATATATATCTTTGTGCTTTGCTTCTTGCTTTAGGCTTGCAGCTCTCCTACACATAGGCCTCTCAGGTGCTGTATCTTCTAGCCAGCTCTGATACAGCAGAGAAGGATGAGAGAACACAGAAAATCAAAGACCGACTGAGAGTACGTGCTGCTTCCAGGCTATTTACTGCAGATCAGGCTGACCATCACACCAAGAGAGAGTAGCTGCTAGGCTCAAGAGTTTGGTGCACTACAGCACAGACAGCTCAAGAAAAAATGACTTTGAATGGAGGGGAATGGAGGAAGAAAGGCTGAATTTTCACCAAAAACTAGGTGATACTAAAATCTGTAGAATTGCATCACATGCTTAGAAGGTCATAAGAAGCCAAATTCTGCTCTCTAATACTTTGCTGTTACTGTAAAATAACGCCTGGAGCAACTGAGACAAATTTATTGGAGAGGTTTTTTCAAAGCTATCAGTGAAAATCTAAGATATCGAAGTACTAAGGACTTTTAAATTCACATCTGCCTTACTGGCCTCACCTCTCAGTTTCTCCATACAAATCTGCCTGCGTAGGATCCTGTGGGGTCCCAGCATGGGACTTCTGATGGCCATACTGCTTTTTCTGTTACAGAGAAGGGTATGTGGTTAGATCCATTCAAATGGTATAGTTCTTATATAGAAACAAGCTCATATTATATGGGCTTACATGAACTGATTGTTCAAAGAAACATATTTGGCCCTAGAGCTGATGACTTTTACAAGAGGAATCAAACTGCTACTGCTATTTAATTTGCAGTCCCCTGATATGTGTATTATTCCCAATACAGTACAAATGAGTGCATCCAACTCTGTTACTTTTCTAACCAAAATACTGTGTTTCTTCCCCTGGTTGAGAAAGATGCTGAACTACAGAATGGTAGTTTTCAAGAGTGTTTCCAAGGAAGTTTCAGTATTCGGGGACTGTAGTGATAGGACAAGGGGTGATGGTTTTAAACTAAAACAGGGAAAGTTCAGGTTAGATATAAGGAAGAAGTTCTTCCCTGTGAGGGTGCTGAGACACTGACACAGGGTGCCCAGAGAAGCTGTGGCTGCCCCATCCCTGGCAGTGTTCAAGGCCAGGCTGGACAGAGCCTTGGGTGACATGGTCTAGGATGAGGTGTCCCTGCCCATGCCCAAGGGTTAGAACTGGGTGATCTTAAGGTCCTTTCCAACCCAAACCATTATGTGATTCTATAATTCTAAGATTCTATCATTCTATGATTCTATGTCCTTGCCCTCTTCTTCTGCTTTTCCCTGTAGCCACTGTCAGGGGCAAGGCACTGGGCTGGATAATCTTTGGCCTGACCCAGGAAAACCACTCTTTTTATATTCACAGGTGATTAATTGAAGCATTTAGCAGGATTCTAAATGCATGTGTGGGACCTTTGAAAGGGACTGAAGAAGGATGTATCAGAGGCTGAATCCCTTCACCTTCCCTTAAAGTCAAGGGTGTTTAGAGGGCTGTTCTCCCCTGGGGATTCCTGCCTGCAGGAGTTCAGGGTGACCATGTTTCTACCTTAAACACTTTTCTTACTTTTGCTGCCTAAAATTAGGTAAGGCAAAGCTTGCTTTAGCCCTTACTTGTCATGCTGAGGACTAGCCCTGGCTTCAGGAACTGTGATGAAAGGGTTGCACAAAGTTACCTTTGGCCCTCTTTGGGTGACATGGTCTAGGGTGAGGCATCCCTACCCATGGCAGGGGGGTTGGAACTAGATGATCTTAAGGTCCTTTCCAGCCCAACCCATTCTATGATTCTTCCCATACAGCACCAATTACATCAGAGACGAAGTCCAGAAGCTGGGCTGCTGGCACGCTGCAACATTCTGCGTATGCTGATTTAACTGTTGGAAAATTTATTCACACAAAAATCTTCCCATTCTCTTAGACAAAGGATTTCCCTCCCTCCCCCAACCCCCATTTTGTTGTCAAAATCCTTTTCTCATCTGTTATTGGGGCAAAACAATCTCCTAGCCAGGATGTTTCATTCATGGATAAAGCTTTCATTGGAACTTGTTGTAAAGAAGCTAAGTGTTGGGGCCAGATTTTGCTCCCAGTGAAATCGGCAACAAAACTCCCATTGATTTCCCTGTGAGCTGAATCAAGCCTCTCCTTACAATGGGGAGATTTTTAGAGGAGTTATGGTGGCTGTGGACAAGTTCTTGTTGCTTTGCCCTTTCCAAAGAGGACTGTTTCTGACGGAGGAACAATCAGAATATTTGTCTCTTTAAATGAATGGTTCTCAGAGCCTGCACTGAGAGGCAGGCTCCCTCTCTGCGGCTGTGAGGCTACTCGGAGCCTCCAATAAATCAGCATGCAGGAACTGAGATCTCTGTCCTTGAAGAGATGCATAGTGACCTTGCTTATGCTTACTCTGGAGGAATAACCCGGGGAAACACAGGAGCCCAAATAGTGAACAGTGTAGGACTAAAGGCACTGCATTCTGCATGCAAATGCTACAGTACTGAGGGCACGGCACGGACAGCACGCTGCTACACAAACTGCAGCTTTCCTGCTAGCCTGACCAGATTGCTGCTGTTGTTTCTTTTGCAGGGGGACTGAACGAAATCTTCATGATCGTTACATGCCTGTTCAATAATAGCACACCCCAGTCACGTCTCCTTGCAAGCACATTTCGTTGGAATCGCTGAGCAGAAGCAAAGAAGAGCTGACGACTATGTGCTTCCAACGCAGGTTGCCGGAGCCCTCTGTTTGCCATTGGCTGCAGTTCTCTGGTTTATTTGCAGCTTCCCCCATCTGGAATTTGAAAATGGGATTGAAGTAGATAATTGCTAGCAGCGGGTTTTCAAGAGAGGCTTAGAGGGAACAGAATGCTTCTTGCACAGCACAGGCTGCCTGTGCTGGAAAAGCACTAAGAGACGATTTTAGATGTTACCTACATCTGAATCTCCTGGAAACTTTACCATGGAAGCAAGCCATTACACACAGTCCTGAAGTTAACAGCTAGAAGGGGCAAGGAAGGGGCAGCAGGGCTAAACAATGGGACACCTTGTCCCTGTATTGCTCACAGAAAAGACAGCAAGCATTCCCCTCCGCTTCCCAACAAAAAGGGCATGAAGGTGACAATGAACTGAATTTTACCCAGTAGAGCTTCAGTGGCTTTTAAGAAGGATGGGATACTCTGACCCTTCATCAAGCAGGGATTTGCTGGGAAACAGAACTTTGTTCTTCATATTCATCTGCGCCTTTGCCGTGGTCACCTTGCTGCAGCAGATCCTCTATGGGAGAAACTATCTCAAAAGGTAAGGGGGGGATTTCAGGGAATAGGAAAAGTTGTCTGATCGGACTGAACTGAGATAGAGATCCAGCCACACCATTATAACAGTTCAAATTGCTTCTGGGTGTTGTGCTGACAATATCTTGTCACTCTGGGAAGGTGCATCCAGCATCTGTAATGTCTTGTTAGATTATTAATGAAGGAGGATGTTGGGGAGAATATAGTGATTTGTGTGTTTCTTGGATTGTGTATTAACCCTCAGCTGTTGTAGAAGTCTAGGTCTTACTTAACTTAAACTAGACTGACTTTCACCACCTGAGTGTTTGCCCCTGATCTGACCCTGACAGAGGCTTTTCACCCTGTGTAAGTTCAAGCTGAAATGGCTTGAGAGGTTAAGGCAGCATGATCATTGCCTGAACTTTAATGTCTTTAGAAATAAACATGTGGGTACGATACCTAAAATCAAAGTGGCAATATTAATGTTCCAAGTAAGAGTGGGAGCACTTTATTTTTCACTGCTGTGTTCTCATGAATTACTGCTGAGACTGCCTTGCTGTAAAGCATATCAGTCCATGATCTGAAAATGATGCTGCTCTTTTTACAGCAAACACTGGTTGGGATCTTCAAGTGTTTAACCTTGACCCATGCAGAGTTTATTTTACTTAAATCTAGTTTGAGGTTTTATGGCTCGTATGGTTTTATAAAGGGGAATGTTTCTCTCGCGTGCTTTGAGGTAAGTGGGTTTCAGTAGTGTAGGCAGCTGCTGTGGAATTTTTTACTGGATTTTAGCTCCTTTTTGCCAGGAGAGATCAATGGTTTGATTCTTGCTTGGTTTTCAACTCATGTACTTGTTTGCCTTGTGCCAAATCAAGCAAAATGCTGACAAATCAGCAAATGCTTCTCCCTGGGAGGGAACAGCAAGCATGATATTAATATGTATAGACAGGAGTGTTGTAGTTATCCACAGAACAATTTGTGTGCCTTGCATAGCACTGAAGCCTTGGCTGGGGGATGCTTTTTTGGGCACCTCACTTCCAGAAAGATGTGATTTAGTTGGAAGGAGCAAGAATGAGCAGAGGTGTAGAAAACTTGTTTGTTTGGCTCAGAGAAAATTGAGGGGGGGTATAACTGTCTTTAAATACCCAAACTATTTCTGTGAAGGAGAAGGTATTAAACCCATCTCTGTAAAGACTCACCACATGATAAGAAGCCATGGACTTAGTCGCAGCAAGAAGGAATTTAACCATGAATGGAAACTTGTAAAGAAAATAGCTACCCAGGAGGTATAAAATCTTCATCTTTGGGGGCTTCAGGAACCTGTTAGGTAGATAAGGATAGTACTGATCTTCCTGGGTGTTGAGAGGATGACTTTATGACCAGTTGCCTTATTTTCTCAGTTTTTTCCATTTGTCCTGGAGGTCTTGCAGCTCTGTCAACACGTGCTTTTCTAAGTTAAAATGACTGTGGTAGGATTGGAACAATTACAAATCTCAAGTATAAACCGAAATGAAAAATGTAAAAGGTAAAATAATGAGAAGATGCAACTAAAACTATTCCAGTGAGTGACCTCCATGGCCAGTCTCTGTCCTCAGGCACTCTGTGGCCAGTGCCTCATGCCCTGGGAGGCTCTCCTGTTGTCAGTGGGCTGCAGGGAATGAAGAAAAGGTAATGACCAGTTCCCAGTCTGGTTCTGAGCACTCTGCCGTCAAGGGTGCTCAAGCAGGGAGATGTGCATACATTTTGTCACTTTGAATGGAAAATACTATTTATATTTTTTCTTATTTATTTCTTATTTTTCAATTCCATCTTACAATAATTTGTTTCTTTTCCTCTTCTTTTATTAGATGAAAGACTTTCAGGGAAAAAAGCGCTTTGTCTCCTTTCTTCTTGGAAGTGGTAGTTCCCATCTTTCATGGAAATAAAAATGCAGGACGTGGCAGTCTTGTGTTGTCAGTTATTAATGATAGCAAGGTGATTTACACAGCAGCCTACATTGTTACCATAATATTATCGCTAAGGTACTTTTCCTCTTTCTGTTCCCCTCTCTCAGTTTCATGCCCTGCAGTACATGATAGTGACCATTCCCAGGCAGTTTGACTGCCAGTGTACTCTGTGCAGGAGTAGCTGTAACCTTTGAATTACTCTTTCCTTTCACAAACCTCCAGTGTTAAGTCCCCTGTTAGAAGCTGATACCGGATGTGACATTCCTTGGACACGTTATAGCTTGTACCTCCAGGGACCATGGTGGAGCTGGTGGTTTTGGAGTGCATCCTTGCAGAGTGGAAGTGCGATATTTATAGCTTTGTTGCCACTGGCCAAGCTAGAGCTTTGGGACGTTGCCTAGACCTAAAGCCATTTACTCACTAGGATTCAATGTGCTGCTGGTTTTATGATACCCTGTGCTTGCATCCCAGCATCCTTAACAATAACAGGCCTCTGGGCCTCTTCCCAAGGCAGTGGGAAGAAATCTCTCAGTATATTTAGAGAAACATGAAAATTGCCCAGCAGTACTGTTTCAGTAAATGTACAGTGCTTTTAAGCCTAACACAGGGTTAGCTTGTTTCTCTGCAAGAACATGGTGGAAATGGGTAAAGGCCAGCAAGGCAGGGGGAATCTGACCTAAATCAGTCATCAGACAGTATAGACTAGGGACTGGTCCTAATAAGGTGTGTGGGCAAAGCCACCCTTTTCTGGGAGAAAGATGGAAATGTTAGCTGTATTTGGCTGTAAGCTGTGCCATGGCACTTGTCCTTACAAGCAGGGAACAGACTGGTTTCATTGCCATAAAAACCCACCTGAAGCTCTCCATGGTGGGTGCCATGGAGGCTTATGGTCCTGTGTTTGCCATGCTCCCAAACCTGGCTGTAGGGACAGCAGGACTGCTGGCAGGAAAGGGATGCTGCAAGACATAAACTCTGCTCAGTGAAAGCTGATAAGGGGCTCAGCCTCTCCTCAAGTCTTCTCTTTCCCCTTAATGAGCTATTAATGAGCTCGTGGCATTGCTGGAAGAAGAGGAGAATGTAGGGATTGAATTTCTAGGTATTCGCATATTTTTCACCCCTCATATAATGTTTGCTGCTCCTTTGCCTGTTGTTTGGTACTATGCCATTAGAAAGCAGAATCTTCCCCATCTTTTTTTTTACCTTTTTCAGTTGTCCCCTAAGTGGGATGGATGCGGGTGCTCTCAGTGAGGCCAATGCCTCATCACTGTAGTACCAGATAAAATCCTAATGAGAGAGTTAAACTACAAACTGGAGAGTAACATTGGGAAGCTGTGGTCTTTGTGGCCCCTGATCCTGAGTAAAAAGGATGATGAAATGAGATATAATTAAGGGACTTTAATACAGATCTCTGGGGTAATTATTTTTATTTTAGGATTAATGTGATGATTAAAAATCCGCTGCATTGATCTGCTAAAGTAGGTTAAATGCTGTGGACTTCTGCTTAAATCCAGAGCTGCTGCTTGCTTTTGTATTGACTCATCTTTCCAATGCTCAGCTTTCAGCTGAATTTCCTTTTGAATCAGATGCTCAGCTGAGGGCTGGCCTTTTTTTGTTAGCTCTTGTTTGGCCAGCAGGGAATAATCCTGGATTACATCAGGAAAATGCCTCTACAGTAAAAAATGTTGAAAGGGTCTGTATCTTCATCTCCCAACCTGTAGCATGGGAGAGATCAATAGGACAGTCCTTTGCCTGCTTTGGCAGGGGAAAAGTATAAGAGCAATACTTAGTTATATACTGATATTCTATTGGCAGGGAATTCACTAAATACTGTTTTTTTAACAGCTTGACTTCTGCACAGGGTGAGAGTCAGCTGAAGAAGGGAATCTGCCTCTTTAAACCTGCTTTTTTTTTTCTTTTCCCCAGCCAAGTGAGGAGAACACATTTTCAAAGCTATTAAAGATTTTAAACAGAGATTACCCTGGCGTCTGTCAAAGGAGGCATGTACAATAACTCAAAGAATCACACAGCAAGAAACAGCAAACCTTCCCATGCAAGCAGCCTGCGTTATTTGAAAGCTTTACATCTTTTAAATGAGAATAAACCATTCCTCTTATGTGTGTGTACCCTATAATTAACATCGGCTGCTCATAACTTGAGGTTATACCACCATTTTGGTATTTCTGGAGCAGATTTTCTTCAACAGTTTTAAATCAATCCTCAGACATCTTTACCCTTTTCCTTACCCATGCAAGAAAGATAGCTTTTTTTTTTGTTTGTTTTGTTTTGTTTTGTTTTGGGTTTTTTTTTGCTTTTTTCTTCTCCCTGGAGTAGGAAAATAAGGAATAAACCCACAGAAAATAAACCTGGACTGCACCTTGAGAGATCATTTACTCTGTACCATGCTATAAGACAAGATCATATCTTATACCAGTGACAGCAGTACCTGCAGTGTGGACATGGAGGCTGCATGTGGCCTGAGTTGTATTGTGTCCTGAGCTGGGCTCTTCAGGAACTACAGCCACATCCTGCCCCATACCTGGTGTGTGCTCCTCTGACCTGTTCATAATACCCTGTGAAGATGTTAACCATGTCCTAGGACCATCTGTTCCAGTGTTAAAAGTCTCTTTCCATTTTAGCATCTTTCCCAGGTGATGTAAGCTGAAGGTCACATTGTGAATCATCTCTCGACACACAGCTCTGTGCCCCTTCCATGTCTAGCCAGAGTGAAACATTATCCCAGAGAAATACCATGGTACCTGTGAATCACTTCCATGAATCCCTGATGGGGCTGCAGAGCAGGTCTTGATTTTGGTTGGTTTTCTTCAGAGGAGAAGAGCACTGGAAACTTCAGGAGACAGTAAATCCTTGACGCTATATACACCAATATGTATATCTATTGGATATGGCCATCACCATAAAGTGACTGGAGAAGCTGAGATTTCAGCCATGCTTTTCTTGCTACAGGGTATTCCCAAGCCCATTTCAAGAGGATGGGACACAGGGTGCTGGCATCCCCCTTGTGCCTAACTGACCTTGCAAAGACCAGGAGCTAAATCAGCTCTCTGAGAGGTCTGAGGAGCAC